AGTGATAATAACCCAGAAAAGACAGAGTTATTTCCTCTGGGACCCTTGAAATCAAGGCATTAAGGATCTGCTGACCCCCCACCCTCCCCCCTTGAAGGGACAGCAGCCTAACACAGATTCTCCTTGAAGGGATAGTAACCTAGCACCCTCCCTACCTTCTTGAAGGGATAGTAACCTAGCACCCTCCCTACCCTCTTGAACGGATAGTAACCTAGCACCCTCCCTACCTTCTTGAAGGGATAGTAACCTAGCACCCTCCCTACCTTCTTGAAGGGATAGTAACCTAACACCCTCTCTCATTGAAGGGATAGTAACCTAGCACCCTCTCTCATTGAAGGGATAGTAACCTAGCACCCTCTCTCATTGAAGGGATAGTAACCTAGCAGTCCCCCTCCTTGAAGGGACAATAACCTAGCACTCTCCCTACCTCCTTGAAGAGACAGCAACTTAGCACCCTCCCTACCTCCTTGAAGGGACAGTAACCTAGCATCCTCCCTCCCTGAAGGGACAGTAACCTACCACAGTCCTTGGGAGCGTCGGCACCTGGTCTAGCCGGTGTCGGTACTTTCTACTTGTTCATGTACCAGCTGCCTCCTGTGTTTATCTTCGGCCCCACGTGTGCGTGTATGTGCGTGTGTGTATGTGTGGTGACGTCACTAGTAGCAGTAGCAGCATCCTTCTGCTCGGAATATTCCTCTTCTGTAGGCAACTTTCCGAGTCCCCGCTGCCTAGGCACTCCATCTTCAACCATTTTTAGCAGCCCCGGGAAACGTTGCCTAGCGCTTCATTTCACTTATTTTTCTCACTAACTCACTATATTGACAGTGATAAATTGTTGTAAGAGGCATTTGTGTTGTAAGAAATGGGGAAAATGAGAAAAATACGTAATAATGGGGGCAAGCCTAGCGGAGGTGAAAGAGGTGTCTGCGCGCAATTCGTCCCATCAGTTTCCACCACTTCTTTTTTCCCCACCTCTCCCATCCATTTATTCTTCCCTTACACGTACTGTCCTTCATCCACGGGGTTGAATATTAGGTAATGAATGCTCTCCATGTATAACACGAGGAATTTGGGGTGAATTGAGGGTGCTAGAGAGGGGGAAAAACAGTATTGCGTGCGATGGCAATGGCCACAATGACGAGCGCATGCGTGAGAGGAAGAACCTGGACGTCGCAAACGTTGTCACTTCTCAGTGAGGCTCAAACTGCTGTCGAGCCTGGGTGTCTTCCACTGCACATACCACATACGCAACCAGCTCGCTTTCTAATATATACAGAGAGAGAGAGAGGGGCGTTTATCACGCGCCGATTTAAGTTTTTCGAGAGTTGAAAGGTCAGACTTTCGCGGCACTGACGAACCTGTCCCTCATTCAGGGACGGAAACCATGCCAAAAAAGGTGAGATTTAAAAAGTCGATTTTGGTAGACAGACGTCGGGTGTGGTATTGATTATGTGGTGGGAGTCGTGCTGGGGGTAAATGATGGGGTTCTGGTTATTTGTTGGAGGTTCTGAAGTCCTGTGTGGGGACTGAGGCCATATGTTTTAAGGTACATGGCTGATATAGTTTGACTTGCCTTGCATGGGCCATTAGGCCTGCTGCAGTGCTCCTTTCTTAGTATTCTTATAAGGTCATGTGTATTGGGGTGGTCATGAGGAATTCTGAAGCCATGTGTGGGGGGTTTGAAACCGTGTGTGGTGAGCGTAATCAAGGGAAAAAGGAATTTCTAAAGTTATCTAATGAGGGTGTTATGGTTTTTTTTTCCAAAGCCATGTGTAAGCTTCGGAAGCCGACACGGAAGAAGTTCTGAAATCATGTGAGGTTCTACAGTCATGCTGGGTTCTGGAGTCTATGTGCTTTGGGGGCAGTGAAGGGTTCTGAATCCATGTGTTGTTTACCAGGAGTTTACCTGGAGAGAGTTCCGGGGGTCAACGCCCCCGCGGCCCGGTCTGTGACCAGGCCTCCTGGTGGATCAGAGCCTGATCAACCAGGCTGTTGCTGCTGGCTGCACGCAAACCAACGTACGAGCCACAGCCGGGCTGATCAGGAACTGACTTTAGGTGCTTGTCCAGTGCCAGCTTGAAGACTGCCAGGGGTCTGTTGGTAATCCCCCTTATGTGTGCTGGGAGGCAATTGAACAGTCTCGGGCCCCTGACACTTATTGTATGGTCTCTTAACGTGCTAGTGACACCCCTGCTTTTCATTGGGGGGATGGTGCATCGTCTGCCAAGTCTTTTGCTTTCGTAGTGAGTGATTTTCGTGTGCAAGTTCGGTACTAGTCCCTCTAGGATTTTCCAGGTGTATATAATCATGTATCTCTCCCGCCTGCGTTCCAGGGAATACAGGTTTAGGAACCTCAAGCGCTCCCAGTAATTGAGGTGTTTTATCTCCGTTATGCGCGCCGTGAAAGTTCTCTGTACATTTTCTAGGTCGGCAATTTCACCTGCCTTTAAAGGTGCTGTTAGTGTGCAGCAATATTCCAGCCTAGATAGAACAAGTGACCTGAAGAGTGTCATCATGGGCTTGGCCTCCCTAGTTTTGAAGGTTCTCATTATCCATCCTGTCATTTTTCTAGCAGATGCGATTGATACAATGTTATGGTCCTTGAAGGTGAGATCCTCCGACATGATCACTCCCAGGTCTTTGACGTTGGTGTTTCGCTCTATTTTGTGGCCAGAATTTGTTTTGTACTCTGATGAAGATTTAATTTCCTCATGTTTACCATATCTGAGTAATTGAAATTTCTCATCGTTGAACTTCATATTGTTTTCTGCAGCCCACTGAAAGATTTGGTTGATGTCCGCCTGGAGCCTTGCAGTGTCTGCAATGGAAGACACTGTCATGCAGATTCGGGTGTCATCTGCAAAGGAAGACACGGTGCTGTGGCTGACATCCTTGTCTATGTCGGATATGAGGATGAGGAAAAAGATGGGAGCGAGTACTGTGCCTTGTGGAACAGAGCTTTTCACCGTAGCTGCCTCGGACTTTACTCTGTTGACGACTACTCTGTGTTCTGTTAGTGAGGAAATTATAGATCCATCGACCGACTTTTCCTGTTATTCCTTTAGCACGCATTTTGTGCGCTATTACGCCATGGTCACACTTGTCGAAGGCTTTTGCAAAGTCTGTATATATTACATCTGCATTCTTTTTGTCTTCTAGTGCATTTAGGACCTTGTCGTAGTGATCCAATAGTTGAGACAGACAGGAGCGACCTGTTCTAAACCCATGTTGCCCTGGGTTGTGTAACTGATGGGTTTCTAGATGGGTGGTGATCTTGCTTCTTAGGACCCTTTCAAAGATTTTTATGATATGGGATGTTAGTGCTATTGGTCTGTAGTTCTTTGCTGTTGCTTTACTGCCCCCTTTGTGGAGTGGGGCTATGTCTGTTGTTTTTAGTAACTGTGGGACGACCCCCGTGTCCATGCTCCCTCTCCACAGGATGGAAAAGGCTCGTGATAGGGGCTTCTTGCAGTTCTTGATGAACACAGAGTTCCATGAGTCTGGCCCTGGGGCAGAGTGCATGGGCATGTCATTTATCGCCTGTTCGAAGTCATTTGGCATCAGGATAACATCGGATAGGCTTGTGTTAATCAAATTTTGTGGCTCTCTCATAAAAAATTCATTTTGATCTTCGACTCTCAGTCTGGTTAGCGGCTTGCTAAAAACTGAGTCATATTGGGACTTGAGTAGCTCACTCATTTCCTTGCTGTCATCTGTGTAGGACCCATCTTGTTTAAGTAGGGGCCTAATACTGGACGTTGTTCTCGATTTTGATTTGGCATAGGAGAAGAAATACTCTGGGTTTCTTTCGATTTCATTTATGGCTTTTAGTTCTTCCCGCGATTCCTGACTCCTAAAGGATTCTTTTAGCTTAAGTTCGATGCTTGCTATTTCTCTGACCAGTGTCTCCTTACGCATTTCAGATATATTGACCTCTTTTAGCCGCTCTGTTATTCTTTTCCGTCGCCTGTAAAGGGAGCGCCTGTCTCTTTCTATTTTACATCTACTCCTCCTTTTTTTTAGAGGAATAAGCCTTGTGCATACATCGAGTGCCACCGAGTTAATCTGTTCTAGGCATAAGTTGGGGTCTGTGTTGCTTAGTATATCTTCCCAGCTTATATCGGTTAGGACTTGGTTTACTTGGTCCCACTTTATGTTTTTGTTATTGAAGTTGAATTTGGTGAATGCTCCCTCGTGACTAGTCTCATTATGTCGGTCTGGGGCTCCACGCATACATGTCTGAACCTCAATTATGTTGTGATCTGAGTATATTGTTTTTGATATGGTGACATTTCTTATCAGATCATCATTGTTAGTGAAGATGAGGTCTAGTGTATTCTCCAGTCTAGTAGGCTCTATTATTTGCTGGTTTAAATTGAATTTTGTGCAGAGATTTAAAAGCTCGTGTGAGTGTGAGTTTTCATCAGAGCTGTCTCCTGGTGTTATTACTGCAACAATATTATTTGCTATATTCCTCCATTTTAGGTGCCTTAAGTTGAAATCCCCCAGGAGCAAGATGTTGGGTGCAGGAGCTGGAAGATTTTCCAGACAGTGGTCAATTTTTAACAGCTGTTCCTGGAATTGCTGGGATGTTGCATCCGGAGTCTTGTAGACTACCACAATGACTAGGTTTTGGTTCTCGACCTTTACTGCTAAAACTTCCACTACATCATTTGAGGCATTAACCAGGCCTCCTGGTGGATCAGAGCCTGATCAACCAGGTAATGAGGGATTTTTTTAGCCATGTGTTGTGGGGGTAATGAAGGGTTCTGAACCCTGTTGTGGAGGGTACTAAGGGGTTCTGAAGCCTTGTTGTGGAGGATGATGAGGGGATTCTGGAACTGTCTTATGGAGGGTAATGAGGGGTTCAGAAGCCTTGTGTTGTGGAAGGTAATGAGGGGTTCTGAAGTCGTGTTGTGGAAGGTAATGAGGGGTACTGAAGTCTTGTGTTGTGGAAGGTAATGGGTACTGAAGTGTTGTGAAGGGTATTGAGGGGTACTCAAGTCGTGTTGTGGAAGGTAATGAGGGGTTCTGAAGTCTTGTGTTGTGGAAGGTAATGAGGGGTACTGAAGTCATGTTGTGGAAGGTAATGAGGGGTTCTGAAGTCTTGTGTTGTGGAAGGTAATGAGGGGTACTGAAGTCGTGTTGTGGAAGGTAATGAGGGGTTCTGAAGTCTTGTGTTGTGGAGGGTAATGAGGGGTACTGAAGTCGTGTTGTGGAAGGTAATGAGGGGTACTGAAGTCGTGTTGTGGAGGGTAATGAGGGGTACTGAAGTCGTGTTGTAGAGGGTAATAAGGGGTACTGAAGTCGTGTTGGGGAAGGTAATGAGGGGTACTGAAGTCGTGTTGTGGAAGGTAATGAGGGGTTCTGAAGTCTTGTGTTGTGGAGGGTAATGAGGGGTACCGAAGTCGTGTTGTGGAAGGTAATGAGGGGTTCTGAAGTGTTGTGGAAGGTAATGAGGGGTACTGAAGTGTTGTGGAGGGTAATGAGGGGTACTGAAGTCGTGTTGTGGAAGGTAATGAGGGGTACTGAAGTGTTGTGGAAGGTAATGAGGGGTTCTGAAGTCTTGTGGAGGGTAATGAGGGGTACTGAAGTGTTGTGGAAGGTAATGAGAGGTACTGAAGTCGTGTTGTGGAAGGTAATGAGGGATTCTGAAGTCTTGTGTTGTGGAGGGTTATGAGGGGTACTGAAGTAGTGTTGTGGAAGGTAATGAGAGGTTCTGAAGTCTTGTGTTGTGGAGGGTAATGAGGGGTACTGAAGTGTTGTGGAAGGTAATGAGGGGTTCTGAAGTCTTGTGTTGTGGAGGGTAATGAGGGGTTCTGAAGTCTTGTGTTGTGGAGGGTAATGAGGGGTACAGAAGTCGTGTTGTGGAAGGTAATGAGGGGTTCTGAAGTCTTGTGTTGTGGAGAGCAGAGAGGGGTTCTGAAGTCATGTGGAGGGTAATGAGGGGTTCTGATGTTATGTGGAAGGTAATGAGGGGTTTTGAAGTTTTGTGTTGTGGTGGTTAATGAGGTGTTCTGAAGTAATGTGTTGTGGAAGGTAATGAGGGGGCTCAGAAGTTTCATGCTGTGGAGGGTAATGAAGGGTTCTGAAGTCATGTGTTGTGGAAGGTAAAGGGTTCTGAAGTCATGTGTTGTGAAAGGTAATGAGTGGTTCTGAAATCTTGTGTTGTGGAGGGTAATGAGGGGTTCTGTAGTCTTGTGTTGTGGAGGGTAATGAGGGGTTCTGTAGTCTTGTGTTGTGGAGGGTAATGAGGGGTTTTGAAGCCATGTGTAAGGATTTTTTGAAGCTGTGTATGGTAAAAGGATTAAGGTGACCACCAGGTGTCTCATTAATAGATGATTGATCCCATTAACTAGTTAACAGGTGTTGGGGCCAGTAAATAGATGCTCCAAT